ACATGTTGTCCCTCTCTTCTTTGCTAAGCGTGTAGCTAGCAGGACTTAAGTAATGACGTCCATCATCTGTCTTCTCTGGATGAAGGTTGTCTCGTTCTTCATGCCCTGCAAGTCCTGGCGTGCTTCAAGTGAATCCTTTGGCTTCCCGTACACACCCATGAATCCTAACAGGTTCACACAAAGATTCTTTGTCAGGTGCATCACGTCAATTGCGTTGCGGACCTCTAGGACTTGCCAATAGGGTAGCTCCCAAAAGATGGACTTCTTCTTCCACATGGGTGCATGTCCCTTAGCATCTTTGGGAACAGATTCGCTGCCTTGTCCCTTTCCAAATACTACTTTCACATCCTTGACCATTGCGAGTACATCTTCCCCGGTTCGGTTATGGGGCTTCTTCCGGTGGTCTGGCTTACCTTTAAAATGCTTACCTTTCTTTCTTACTTGGTGATTCAAAGGAAGGAATCAACGATGGCCAAGGTACACGACCTTTCGACATCTTTTCAAATATATACTATCAAGGTCATCAAAACAATGTGTGCATGCATTATATCCTTTGTTTGTTTGACCTTAAAGATTACTTAAAGCATGCCAATCATTGATTGTTACGAACAACATTGCTCGTAGGTCAAAGTGTTCTTGTTTGTACTCATCCCAGACACGTACACCTGGGTTGTTCCATAAAACTAGAAGTTCTTCAACTAATGGCTTCAGATAGACATCAATGTCGTTGCCAGGTTGCCTCGGACCTTGGATGAGGATCGGCATCATAATGAACTTCCGCTTCATGCATAACCATGGAGGAAGGTTGTAGATACATAGAGTAACTGGCCAAGTGCTATGACTAGTGCTCTGCTCCCCAAAACGATTCATATCATCTGTACTTAAGGCGAACCTTAAGTTTCTAGCCTCATTTGCAAACTTTGGAAATTCCCTGTCTATCGCTCTCCACTGGGACCCATCAGCTGGGTGTCTCAGCATATTGTCTACCTTACGGTCTTCTTTATGCCACCGCAACAACCTTGGCAGGGATTTTCTTTCTAGGACGTTGTTCACCCTCGACGTCACCAGGATCATCGCGCCTGATCTTATACCGCGCTGCTTTACATACCGGGCATTCATCCAAATTCTCGTATTCATTGTCATGGTAGAGGATGCAGTCATTAGGACATGCATGTATCTTCTGGATTTTTAATCCCAAAGGGCAGACAATCTTTTTTGCTTCGTACGTAGTGGTGGGCAATTCATTTGGCTTCGGAAGCATCTTCTTTATGAGGTTCAATAAATTCCCAAATGCCTTGTCGGATACACCATTATTTGCCTTCCACTGTAGCAATTTCAGTGTTGTACCCAGCTTTTTTTGCCCCTCTTCGGCCGTCGGGTATAGCAACTTACTATGATCCTCAAGCATGCGCTCGAACTTAACTTTCTCTTTTTCACTTTCGCATTCTTATTGTGCATCACGAATGGCATCGCCAAGAGCATCACCGAGATCATCTTCTACCGCTACCTCTTCTTCATCTCCCTCCATTGTAGTATCATCAAAGGCACCATACTGAGCAATAATGTCATCAATGTCTAAATCTTCTCCTTCACCTTCTTCCATCATGACCCCGCTTTCTCCATGCTTAGTCCAACATATATAGTTTGACATGAAACCTGACTTAAGCAAATGTGAATGAAGACTCATTGAGCTTGAATATTCCTTTAAATTCTTACATATGGCACATGGACAGCACATGTAACCATCCCGCTTATTTGCCTCGGCCACACCTAAGAAATAGTGCACGCCCTCAATAAAGTCTTGGGAGCGACGATCGGCATTGTACATCCAATGGCGTGACATAATCTGCATTACACGACAAATTATGAAAACCTTGAACATAATTAAGTATTTTATTACACGACATAGATGACACACACACGGTTGATTAATTAACTAAGCCTGTCTACAACGTAAGCAATCCCAACTATCACTAAACAAACTAAAACTACAATGCACTTCAGTAACATAATTATTTCGTGACCGTACGCAACTAAAACGGACAAATCATTCTTCTGTTGAATATCAATAAGCTTCTCCTGCTGGCTCACTGCCTCATCATCAGAAGCCGCTACCTCAAGCGCACCCGAATTCTGCACGTATGTAGCATAATCTTCCTCCCAGTACCAACCATCGCATCCATTGCCCTCCCACTGAAATTAAAGCCAAAAAATATTTAGTCAAAAATATTCAAGAAAAGCAGGTCAATTAGCCATAATAATCAAATGCGTAAGAAACTCACATCGCGATCCGGGCACTTGTAGAAAACACGACCCTTGTTGGGTCCCTATCTCTTGACTCGCTACTCCATCACAATCTTATGCTTACACTTACCGCAGATAATGAGAGAGTTCTGGCCTCAGTCGTTTCGCAACCGAACGAGAGGCCGAGGATCCGGTACCAGTTGTCATCTACTTTCTATACTTATTTTTGCAAACTACTGTAAATTTCACATTTTCTAAAATAATATATTTAAACAAAACTAAAATTATTTATTTATCTAACTAAACCATGAAATATGTACTATGTATAATAGTAAAATACCAAACTATCAAGTGATTTTACTATTGTAAATCATCATGTGATTTTGAGCTAAAAATGGCATAGAAATCACATAGCTCAAAAACATGTTTCAATAAATAACCATCCGTACTAGTTGACCTTGCTTACGTGATCATCTCGGTGGGCATTTCTCCACCGGACGACACCGTACTTGGCCAAGGAAGAGCTCCGATTCTACGAGGAAGGGAACACGGTCTTCCACGACCGTTGCCGCTCTCCCTCGTAGAATCAAAGCTCCTCCTTGACGTCCGTTACCGCTCGGCAGAGAACATGCTCGCCGAGATGAACACGGTCCGCAAGTTCAACTAGTACGAATTTTCTATATTTTTCTATAATTTTCTAAGTATTTTCTAAGTTTTTCATTTCATGAAAAATTTAATTTTAAGAACACGTAAGCCGCCGGGGACGAGGATGGCGCGTGCTCCAGCGAGGACGAGCGAGGCGTGATTTTGATGAACTAATTTAACTTTTGTTTATCCAAACATATATGCAAATCATTATGTGATTTTGAACTAAAAATGACATATAAAATCATAATAAAGTCTAACATATAAAGTTACATATACATCTACATCGCAAAATGAGATAAGCTACTGATAAAACATAAGAGGATTAAGTTTGTTATCTCCAAAATCGAAGAGCAACACCAATGGAGGGGGAGAGAGCAAGAACAACAAGTTGAAGAACAGAGGCAGTGAGTTTGAATGGAATGGCTCGGGCTCGGGGAGGAAGAAATGAGCTGGTGTATAGGCCGGGATAATTAGTCCCAGTTAGGAGGCCAAACCGGGACTAAAGATTAATATTTATTTCCGGGGCATCATCCAAACCGGAACTAAAAGCTTTAGTCCCGGTTGGTATTACCAACCGGGACTAAAGGTACCTTTAGTCCCGGTTGGTAATATCAGCCGGGACTAAAGATCCATGCCCCGCGGACGACCGTTGGGCAGGGACCTTTAGTCCCGGTTGGTATTACGGGACTAAAGGGTCCTTTAGTCCTGGAGACAAAAAATGCCGAGGCTAATGCCAAATTAGGACATCGTTCTAAAGTCTGTTCTCTAGTAGTGGGGGTTACCTAGACAAGGCATTGGCCACACTATTATCCACACCATTCTTGTAAATGATTTTATACTGCAATCCTAGCAACAATTTGGTGAAAATAATTTGCTGCTAGTGTCCATTCTTAATTATATATATTTGAAGTCATGTTTTGTCAGTTGTTCTCCATAGTTCGTATTATCTTGAAGGCTCTAATTATCCCTGCATGCACAAATTCAACTCTATTTTTCCGAAAGATTGCACAAATTCAATTCTAGTTTGATGTGTTTTATGGCCACCGTACCGTTAATCATCATTTACAAAGGTTGGTGAACTGCTTGTTTCTGGAAATTGATCAACGATGACAGACATCTTAAGGTGCCATTCTCTAATAATCGATTTTCTGAAGCGGTCACTTTAGATTGCCCCATCTACATATGATTTTCAAATGCGGACATTTTCCTAGAGGCTGTCTAACCATTTAAAGCCTTGTTTGATACCCATGTATCGACCTAATCTATGTGTATTGGAGTGGTTGATATGGAGTTTAGTTTAAATTCCACACTAAAATATTTCAACATATATGGATTGAGGTCAATACATGTGCATGCAAACAAGCTCTAAAGGCGGTCTCTAGATGTATCCACCTCTGTTAATCGGAGATGTTGTCTTGTAAATTTGTTTTTTATATTAGTAGTGTCGTCCATCTAGTCTTTGGCCATTACGAATGTTAGTGCATGTTCCTGCCTAGACGGGTACTGATGTTTAGCATGAAAATAAGTCGAAGTTCGCTATAAAAAATGAGTCAAAGTTCACTGCTGGCCAGTCTGGTCTAAGCTAACGTCAAATCGGTTTGAGTGATCCTACAATTTTCAAATTACAACATTCGGTCTGCGTGAAAAGACCGGCCAGCATTAACAGACAGCCATTATACGTACGTCCGGCCGGCTCCCACCTGAACACCTGATCGTGCATTTCACATGTCACCGCCTTCAGGTGCTGCTCATGTGCAGGCTAACAGCGCCCAACCAGACGGACGTGTTGTACCGTATGCCAAGCAGTTTTCTTTTCTTATAAGGGACAAGAATGCACGGCTGTACACACAAAGACACACAGCAGGGAGTAGCAACGTACACAGACACCGTGCTAGCTAGCTCAACGAAGCTGCCGCCTGCATGCCTCAAGTCAGCATCTCCTCTGCGATCCTCCGCTACTACGTCCCCCGTGCAGCCGCCGTGGCGGCTGGCGTGCTGGCACGGTTTGGTCCTTGTGATTCGATCGAGCTGCTCCGATCCGACGTACACGCAGCACATCACGTGGTTCACGCACGCACGCATGTAGGTGTGGTGACGTGTCGTTTGAATTACTTGTGCCGCCTGGAGCTGGAACCGGCTTTGCTGCTGTGTTGGTCATCCTCGTCCAAGACGCCCAACTCGGCGGTGGAGAGGTCGTTGGCGAACGCCATTCGCCGGAACAGCTCGATGTCCACCGAGTACCGGCCTGAGTCGTACGCCATGCTCTGCCCGAGCTTCACGCCGTTGGTCAGGTCCGACGAGCACTCGTCCACGTCCAGCGATCGCCACACCTTCCGACCGATAGAGGAGACAGCAGCGATCGAGAAGAGCTAGTCAGTTCCTTCCATCATCCTCGGTCTCTTGCATTGGCAGGTACGTGTTTTGCTCGTTATTACCTGCACCATCCTGGGTCTCTTGGCGGCGGAGTGGCGCACGCAGGCGGCGGCCGCCTCCACCATCCTCCGCATCTCGGTCTTGGAGAACCTGCACTCCAGCGCAGGGTCGGCGACCTCTCGGAAGTCGTCCGTCTCCAAGGCGTCCACAAGGAGAAGCCGAGCCTGCATCGGGGGTTCACGCAACGTACGTGATCAACAGTCAGCGATCGACCCTGTAGGCTGTTGTAGCTAGTAGCACGATGATACAAATTAAGGAGGATGATTCGTGTACCCATTCAACCAGGCTCTCTTCTCCCAGCGGTTGAGATGCGTCGACGGGCTTCCGCCCGGTGATGAGCTCCAGGAGCACCACCCCGAAGGAGAACACGTCGGATCTGTCGGTCAGCTTCCCGCTTTGTGCGTACTCGGGCGCCATGTACCTGTGGATCGAGCAATGTGACTGGTATCCCCTCCAAAATTTGCTGAATTTTGTCAGATAGGCTGTACTCTGAACGCTGCTTACCCGAACGTGCCCATCACGCGCGTCGAGATATGAGTCAGCGAGTCGTTTGTCAGTTTAGCAAGGCCGAAATCTGCAACCTGTTCCCCAGATTAATCGCCAGTAAGTACAGAATCAAGCGTTTGGGTGGTGCACTTTATTCTGTGCTGCAAATTGACCTTGGCCTCGAAGGCGTCGTCCAGGAGAATGTTGGCCGACTTGATGTCCCTGTGTATGATCCTAGGATGGCCTGCATGTACGTACAAGACCAGCTCTTAATTAGCCGGACTGACAAGCAAGCTAGCTACCCAGGACGGACTGGAGCATCGCACGATGAGCTTGTACGTCCTCACTTACAGTCTTCGTGGAGGTACGTCAACCCACGCGCCGCTCCGATCGCAATCTTCATCCGTTTCGACCAATCCATCACGGGTAGCCCTTTTCCTGCAGATCGATATACATGTATAATCCAACATTCACACATTCATGCATACGCATATGTCCGCCAATGCAAGAGGAAGCTGACTACAATATGTGAATAATGTGCTGCTCACCGTGCAGGTGATGCTCGAGCGTGTTGTTTGCCACGAACTCGTAGACGAGGAGGCGGTGGTTCTCGGTGACGCAGTAGCCGACGAGCGTGACGAGGTGGCGGTGGTGGATGCGGCTGATGATGTCCACCTCCGCGCGGAACTCCTTCTCCCCCTGGCCGCTGCCCACCTTGAGCTGCTTCACCGCCACGCGCCGCCCGTCGCCCAGCGCGCCAATGTACACCTTCCCGAACCCGCCCTCGCCGATCACGTTCCCCGCCGAGAACCCGCCCGTGATGCCCACCAGCTCGTCGTACGTGAACCACGACATGCTCCCCCACAGGTCGTACGAGTTCGTCCCGCTCGGCGACGGCGCGGGGGGACCGCCGTTCGACGCCTGGTACACGTCCGGCGAGAGAGAAGCCACGGCTGCACGTACGTGACAGACAAAAGCGCAGTGTTACATACTGCATGGTGGCAGCAAGAGCAACATAAACAGGACGACGTTCCGAGGCGGGGCGGGCACTAACGTTCCGGCACGACGATGTTGTGCCTGCGCGACGGCGACGGTTGCGAGTGCCGCTTCCTCTTCCCGTGGTTGCTGTTGACGCACACCATTATCAACAGCGAGACCAGCGCCAGGAGGAGCCCGGCAACGGAGATCCCAATGATGATCGCCTCGTTCTTCATGTTGCTGCTGCCCGAACGGCCACCCGCGGGGGGACTCAGTGGAGGGGCGGTAGCGGCGGGGCCAGGCGGGCCCCTCCACCTGCCGCCTGCAGGTGGGCCAGAGGCACCCGGCATGATCACCGTCACCGCCATCGGAGGAGGCAGCATTTGCGTGGGCGAGGACGGTGTCCCCGGCGCCGGAGGTGGCTGCCGACCGGCGGTGGTGTCCGGGGGCGTCGATGGTGTCTCGCGCGGTGGCGGCTCTGATTTTGATCCGGAGCTTGACGTCGCATTTGGGGGAGGTGAGGCCGTCGCGGCGGGTTTCTCTGACGACGAGGGTGGCGGTGGCTTGGCCGATTCCGGTCCCGGAGGCGATTGCTGCGACGTCGACGATGGTGGCGTCGATGATGACGCGGGCGGCGGCGGCGAGGAACGCGGAGGTGGCGACGGGGGCGGCGTCGACGGGGAAGGAGGAGGAGGAGGGGACTTGCTTGCTGGCGGCGGCGAGGCCGGAGGAGGCGGGGACGCCGTCGGCGACTTCTCCGGCGGAGTCGCTGGTGCAGGAGGAGGCGGGGACTGCTTCGACGGTGGCGGCGGCGGCGAGTGCTGAGGCGGCGACGGTGTCGGCGGAGGAGGAGACGACGAGGAAGCCTTCGGCGGGGATGGCGGGGGAGACGACGACGAAGCCTTCGGCGGGGGTGCCCGTGCCTTCGGCCCTGGCGGCCCTCCCGCGGGAGACGAGGCCCGATGCTCGGTTGACGCCATGAGGGCGCGCGGCATCACAGGGCCGCCGCGCGCTCGGCGGTGTCGTCGTCGTTCCGGGAGTGTCTAGGAGCCGCTGAGCCGGAATAATGGCATCTCAAGCGCGCACCGATCGGTAGGTGGGGAGGGCCGGAGGGGGCAGCGGCCGGGTTCCGCCTCTCACATAGGCATGGGGTAAACGTCCGTCCGTCCGGCACTCCGGCGTTAGGGCAGGCCCCGAGCTAGCAGGCAGCGTGGGTGGAGGCACGGAATGCGCCTCGCCTTGGCGACAAGACGACCGCGGCGTAATGTGCTCGTGTTTTTCTCCGTAATTTTTCTTTTCTTTTTCTCGCTGTTTTTCCTTGCCTTGCTTTTCTTGGATGGGTGGAGGGTGGTGGAACAGAGCAGCTGCGGGGAGCATCGAGAAATCTGGGCGGCCGCAGGAGGAAACCGGCGCGAACTTGAATGTGTTTTGAGCTCCTGATGATGACGAAGCAACGCGGGGGCAGTGATTGACAGATCACTTGGCTGTTCACCTGTCTGCAAGATTGATGCACATGCTAAATTTAGCTTCGTGCAGGTGCCGGCGCTGCATATGATCTGAGGATTGAGATTTATCATATTGTAAAGGGTAATATACATGTCAATACAAGTATTAGCGAAAACTACTGAGGATCCAGCAGCGTTGTCCGCAGGTCACGGAAATGCTTAGGCTCGGAGGCTCTGTTGGTGGGCCGCGACGTCAACCTGAACCAACATGAACGGCCCAACATTCCACTGCGCTCGGTTAACCAATCCACTCTAGAAATAAGGCCAGACTGTACCGTCCACTTATCGAGTTCTCCTCGCCGCCGCAGCATGGTCCACGGCAACCCGTCCGGCGCGACATTCTTCACCTGGCCACCCACCTGCCTTCATCCTTCCTCCCCACCACACTTGAGCGCCGCCGAGCGGTTTCTCCCCTCTCCACCGTGTTCATCGATCGATGTGTATGGTTTACATCTGCATCGCCCCCCCGCCGTCCGTCCCTCTTCGGCGGCTTTCGCGCTAGGAGCGGCGACCAATCGGCCTTCCCTCTCTTTCTCCATGGCATCCGGTCCACTAACTCCCTCGGCGACAGTCTCTAGCAGAGATGCGTACGAGATCGGGTAGGGGCAACTCCCCCAGCAGGGACTACGATGACAGTGGCCAGGATGCAGATTTCCGGAATCGGTCGTTCCCCCGCTCTGTGTTGCGTCACACGAAAGAAGAATGGTGAAAATTGCATGTTGCAAGAGTATGTTTTCAAGTGTTTGGTATGTTGCAAGTGTTGTATATAGATGTTGCAAAAGTAGGTTGGGATGTTGCACATGTTATAATGCCCATACACGTATGTTTCAATTGTACGTTTCAAACGTTTCATCGGTTCCATATGTATGTTGCAACTGTTTTATCTTGATGTTGCAAAACTAGATCTGGATGTTGCATATACATGCATGTTGCAAGCATATGTTTCAACTGTTTTTAGGTGTTTCATACGTATATTTGCAAGTGTTTCATCTGGATGCTGCATATGTTTGCAACGGTTTTTTAAATATTTTAATGTGTTTTTCGCAAGTGTTTCGTACGCTTGTTTCAAGTATTTCATCTATCTTCTTTTGTATGTTGCAGCTGTTGCAGATGGATGTTTTAAAAGTAGACGGGTGTTGCACATGGGATTCGCCTGAGAAGCGGCTAGCGGCACAGGCGACATCCGGGGCGACGCGAGCCCACTACTGGTTCACTCGTTCGCGAGCCTGACACTCTAGGCGCTCGCTTGCTCCATGTACGGGCCGTCCGGGCTAGCAAGTCCATAAATTGATCCTATCTTAGGTGACAATAAACGTATGCTATGATTATCCAATCAATTAATTCCCTCTCTACTTGAAATAGTAGTACCAGCACAAATTCTGCTGAGATGGCTTGTGGCCCGGCCTAATGAAGCGCAACAAGTAAGGTTGTCAATTGAAAAAAAAATCACCTGGGCCAGTATTATCTATGTTTTTCTTTAGAAGCAGGCCAGTATCAAAGTGAACATGCTAAGTTGGGCTGTTGTAGTCATGACGGCCCATGACATTTTCAGGAGTTGCTTAATCCTTCTTCAAATCGAGATCATGCTCTTTTTAAAAAAAAAATGGAAGAGAACTTCCCGCCTCTGCGTGTCCGCACACAACGATTACAATATTACATAGTTTCGGAGATATTGTTGATGAACTAAGGGAACAAGAGATGCAGAAATCATGTATGATAGAGTCTATTATTAAATTTCCATTCGTCGAAGACGAACAACTCCAACACAGTGGTCTCTAATTTCCTGCTCGCTAACTGGAAAGATTCCTTTGTTTCATCATCACGCTGCAGCAGTGCCCAAAACCGCCGGGACTATTGGTCGGCGCACGTGCGCTCGAAGGGTTCCTGACGCGCACGCACTCAAAAGAATAATAGCGCGTGCACGTAACCTCAGCTATCGATGTTTCTCTCTTCTCATGTCTAGTTTTTCTAACCACTCTAAAATCAGCCCATTAACGTTTCTCCTATCTAGATTCTGGACCGATGGGCCAATTTGAATTCTACGAGCTTTTTATTTCTCTTTCAAGATAGCGGGTATGTGGGAGATGAAAAGGGTGGGGAGATGGTTTGAAATCCAGATAGATGCAGAAGTATTACTTTTCAAAATTTATACAATTGTATATTCTATAATACTTCATCTAGGATTAATGATTCAATCGATATATAAAAATAAAAAATGATTCATTAAAGACATGCAAGGTTAGGCATAAAAAAACTAGAAAAAGGAGTATATCTTATTTATCGAGATATATATATCTTTACAGATAGCTAATATAAAGCTTGGCTTCTGTTTTCAATGCTAAATAGTTGCCATTAATACCCTGGAAAAAAAAACAAGACAAGGTACTCAGATTAAAAATGCATGAAGTTATGTTAACTTTTACATTTGTGTATGTAAAAAAAGTATGAATACTGCGAAATTGTAAAATTGAATCTAGACTTACATTATAAACTTTGTATTGTTAGGTTCAAAACTTTAACATGTTATATTATAAACTTTATATTGCTAGGTTCAAAACTTTACACCTAAAATTTATAAACTTTGAACTATCACATTACAAACTTTATACTAATTTCAAAACTTTGAACTATCAATTATAAACTTTCTAATAATAGGTTCAAAACTTTACACTCAGAATTTATAAACTTTGAACTATGACATTACAAACTTTGTACTCCTATGTTTAAAACTTTAAACTATCACGTTATAAACTCTGTACTGTTAGGTTCAAAACTTTACACCGAGAATTTATAAGCTTTGAACTTTCACGTTACAAACTTTGTACTGTTAGATTCAATACTTTAATCTGTCATATTATAAACTTTATATTACTAGATTTAAAACTTTAATCGATAATTTTGTACTGTTAGGTCCAAAACTTTACACCTAGAGTTTATAAACTTTGAACTATGACATTACAAATTTTATACTATTAGGTTCAAAACTTTGAACTATCATATTATAAATTTTATACTGCTAGTTTCAAAACTTTATATTCAGAATTTATAAACTTTGAACTATGACATTACAAACTTTATACTGCTAGGTTCAAAAACTTTAAACTATCACGTAATAAACTTTGTACCGCCAGATTCAAAATTTTACACTCAGAATTTATAAACTTTGAACTATCACATTACAAACTTTGTACTGTTAGATTCAATGCTTTGATCTATCACGTTATAAACTTTGTAGTGGTAGGTTCATAACTTTACACTCAGAATTTATGAACTTTGAACTATGACATTACAAACTTAGTACTGCTAGGTACAAAACTTTACACTTAGAATTTATAAACTTTAAACTATCAAATTACAAATATTGCATTATAAACTTTGTACTGTTAGGTTCAAAACTTTACACTCAAAATTTATAAACTTTGAACTGTCAGATTATAAACTTTCTACTAGCACATTTAAAGCTTTATAATTTAAGATTTAAAACTTTGTAATTTCAAACTTTATTTTTAAAATTCAAAAACTTTATACTAGCACACTTAAAAGTTTGTACTTTAAGATTTAAAACTTTATAATTTCAATCTCTATTTTTAAAAATTCAGGAATTTTATACTAGCACATTTAAAACTTCGCAATTTCAAACTTTACATTTTAAATTCAGGAACTATATACTATCATATTTAAAACTTTATAATTTAAGATTCAAAATTTTGTAATTTAAAACTTTACTTTGAAATTCAGAATATTTATAGTAGCACATTTAAATCTTTGTACTAGGACATTTGAAACATTGTACTTTAAGATTCACAACTTTGTAATTCTAAACTTTGCACTTCAAGTTTTCGAACTTTGTTGTAACATATTTCTAACTTTATATTACTATATCCAAAACTTTATAATTAGATACTAATAATATGGTATTTAATTGATGTACAAATGCTTGCATGGTGTAGTCACTAAAGTTCAGTAAGAATAAAAACAAGCTCCACTGCACGTCATGAACCCTCCGTATTTCAGGCGTATAACATGAAAAAATGAGACGACCATACAACAACAACGAGATAATGCATACCTTTGCAAGGAGCTGCTCCATATTTGCCTCCATTCGAACAATGTTAGTCTTCATCCTTTGGAAAAAAAAATCACAGATACATAGCAATACACGTTACAACTAAAAAAAAAGGGAAACTTGTCCATAGGACACCCAAAATGACCTCTCTTTGCTGATGGACACTGAAAATAATCAGATTTGCTGAAAGACACTCTGTTTTTTGCAAAATATGATGGCGGACATTGTGCCTATTAAAATATTCATTTCTGACTTTAGAGGAGAGAGAAGAGTGACATAATGTCATTTTACCCCAGCCTTCTTCTTTCGGCCTCCCTTTTCTTCTCTCCCCTGCTCAATGACGCCCCTCCCTTTTCTTCTTTCTAAATTCAGAGCGGCAGCCGCCGATGAATAAACAACGTGATCACCTCTCCTAAATACAAGTACGACTAGCAGTAGTAGTAGTAGTCTACGTAGTGCTGCTACACAGGACGGGACGGGATCTCCTTAATTAACACAATGCTTCGCATTGATTCGATCTGATTTGGTTTGGTTTGGGGGTTTTCTTCTACGGCCGTGTGACGACGCCGACGTGCTCCGCGGCGGCGCGCATGACACCCTCCACCAGCTGCGGCATGCACGCCTCGCTGACGGCGCCGGGGCCGCACCCGGCGTGGAGGCCCACGCCGGACATGTACTTGCGCACCTCGGCGCGGATCATCTCCTGCATCGCAGCCACCAGCTCTCTGCTGAACGGGTACAACGACGACTGAGACGGAGCCGCCGCCGCCTACGGCGAAGGAAGGGTGATGGGTGGAGGAGACTACGGCGACGGAGAGCGCGACGGTGGAGAGAGCTCCTGGAAGTGGCTCCGCGCGCTGTCGTGGTGGAACCCCAACGACACCTGGTGGTCCAGCCCCGGCAACGAGAGGGAGAGCGAGGTGAGCGGATCCTCGTAGTCTGCTGCTGATGCTGGCGGGGGAGGCGGAGGAGGGCGCAGAAAGAAGAAAAGGGAGCTCCGGCTGCGCGCGTCAATGGCGGCCAGACCCAGCGAGCGGATCAAGGCTGGACCGAGGAGGAGCGGACAAGGGTGGGTAGGCGCGGGCTGGTCCTCGGATTGCTCGATCACCACCCGATGCTGCAACTGCGTAGCACCGGACTCCGTGGTGCCTTTGGATGGAGCGCGAGGAGTCCGCCACCACGTGGGGCTCATGCTCTCCCAATGAGCAAGGGATAGAAGAAAAGGGAGAGGGTTTAAGAAGGCTGGGGCAAAAAATGACATTTCACCGCTCTTCTCTCTCCTCCAAAGTCCGAAATGAATATTTTAATAAACGCAGTATCCGTTAGCATATTTTGCAAAAAACAGTGTCTTTCAGTAAATCTGATTATTTTCAGTGTCCGTCAGCAAAGAGAGGTCATTTTAGGTGTCCTATGGACAATTTTCCCAAAAAAATAATAATAGCACATGTACATCAAACTCATTAACAGAAGGAGAAGTCTGAGCTACCAGTAAGAAAATAGCGTCACCCTCCTTTTCATAGTCAGTTGCACTAATAAACTTGTTATAATTCTCATACACTACCATCTATAAATCTGTGTCTAGGTTCTTGATCTCAGCAGCCATCTTCACATGCCCTTGTAGAAGACCTTCCAGACTGGATTGTTGCACCTGAAAACCATGTAAGTAGTGAGCATCCTACTCTTAGTTATCGGGACTAATAAACTAAACATGTTATTATGTCATACTAATTTACGCTTTCAACGAAGGCTATTTCACTAGCAAATAGCATATTAGGGTATATAGTTTGGGCCCCAAAAAATCTAGCCAATTTTCGGTAAAGGCCTACGTTTAAATGTTTGGGAAGCCATTCAAGTGAAAATGGCAAGACATGCAACAATTATATGCAGAAAAAAGTCATTCGAATGATAGGTCATGCTAAACTTCATATAATCAGAATGCCAGTAAACTATGTACTGAACATAGAAAGTGCTAATGTAAAAAGGGAATACTTGTGTAAACTATGTACCATAAGCAAATTATATAAGTAAATTGAAACTATAAAAAGGTAATACTACTGCAACAAGTAGTCTAACTCTATGACAATAAATTTAATCTTCCTGATTCACATCATTCTTGTGTCTGATCCCAGATTCCAAGGATACTTATGCAGTATAACTAAAATATGTTGCATGGAAATCTCCTAGTTAAAATAAATTTTATTGAGTATTTAATTAATAAACAATCTATGCATGCATGCAAAAGTCAATATTATAGTTACGCAACAAGCACACTATGTAAAATACTGATAGAAGTGCTCTAAGTAAAATGAACAACCATGAACCATAATTTAAATATTTTCCTAAGGTCACCTAGGCATCACCTTCAACTAGTTGCAGGCACCCTACAGGTCAAACATAAGCACATCTAGAAAGTGAACAACAACCCTGACTAGAAGAAGCCAGTGGTCAAGCCACAACTTGCATACCTAAACACACACTGGGTCACTGGCACCATTTTCTCTTGTGATCTACACCATCCAAGTAAGTACAAGATGGCTTAGGATTAACCAATTTTTTTCCTAGCTATAGCACTTGAGGTGCACAGACACAGAATGCAACATTCGTGCAAGACCGACCATACTGTTGAAACCCCCCCCAACATTTCCACCTCGAAATGCCCAAAACAATAAAATAGTGAGATCAATTATGTTTTCCAGTAGAAAGCTCAGTCTATTCTAGCTAGATAGGTAAGTCAAATGAGTCGTCAGGACAACCACCATGAATGAATATGTGGTGTTCAAGATTCTTGGTGATGATATGATATGATAAATATATATACATGGAATCTGGTTTGGTAGGTTCATTGCCGAAAATAGTTTTCGCAAATGCCCCACCCTCCATCAGAGCAACTGGTGTCAGGTTGACCCTGTTGATAACATCTCCCACAGCCCAAATGGAATCAAATAAGGTACGAGAATACTCATCAACCTAGCACAAAATTGTTGCAAAAGCACCAAAGATTATAGAGCGACAAACAAAATGTGATAAATTTGGCACCAGTTATTGTAATAACCTACTAATATCGCACCGTTCTTATCCATTTCGACCCCCACCTGTTCCAGTCCAAGGTTCTACAAGGATTGAAACTATGTCAGGAATTAGAATATGAGTCAATATGTGTAAAATCTCAAGAACTGCAAGTGCTCTGTGTTACTACCTTTGTATTTGGTCTGCAACCTGTTGCAAACATTACATGTGAGAACCCACCAAAAATTTCTTTATTGGTCTTCATAGATACAGACCAGCATTTGATTTAGTTATAGCTTGGGGGGTCTATTCTGTATGAAATGTGATGCCCTTAAAGACATTTGTTCAGCGACGAAATCTCTAACATGTGCATCCAAAACAGGACAAAAAATAAACAAAGAAGCAACACATTTTATCTATTACCAGCGCTATCTTTGCTCTTCTAAATATATGCTCACCTCTTCATAAAATCCTCTTAAAACTTTCTGCTACCGAATAAGCACATGGACCTCACTTTTAAGCCATTGAAAATGGCAGCAAACTCCAAAGCAATATACCCACCTCCCACTATTGCAATTTTCTCGGGTTTTGAAGGCAAATCCAGTGCGGCATACGAATGTATAACATGCTCTATACCAGGGAATATCTGCATCGATGGTCGGCCACCAACACCAACTAGTATGTGCTTAGCAGTGTAGAGCTTACCATTCACACTGACAGTACGAGGATCTACTATCTGTATTAAGAAAAAGAATACATAAGGAAACACACCTTTTTATACAGTATTCATTTCAGAGAACAGTCTTATCCAAAATATAACCTGATATACAAACATCACCCAACCTTTATCCACGGCTTTCGATCAGAGTGACTCCTGCATTGGTTAAAATATTCCTGTAAATGCCAATTAGGTGCTGCAACTCTGCATTTTTATTGGCTATGAGAGTGCTCCAATCATGCTTTCGATCAGTCTCGTATGTCCATCCAAAGCCACGATACTCTTCAAACTCGTGAGAGTATTTGGATCCATACACCAGCAATTTCTTTGGAACACATCTACGAAGCACGCATCCATGGTGCGAAAAAAAAGTTATTATGCTATACAATCAAAAGTCAACAACTTAAGCATATTTCAAGGCTAGAAACTGCTAAATACTAAGCGGATTTCATGAATAGACAGGCTAAAGCATATTAGTTTGGAATATAAATCAATAGCAAACACAGAATAGATAGGCTAAAGGATATTCATAGAAAGATGTCTTCCCATCTTGCCGGTAAAAGTTTAGGCCGGTTTTATTAGATTTGAACATAATTTATTTATTTATCAAAAAATGGGACTCTGAGCAGAACCAGGGAAAGTATCATTAGATTTTTTCCCATCTGAGTCTGAACTCCGTAGCCTGAGCAGACCAGCAGAGGCAGCAGCAGCAGGTCAGAAACGCAATACGCCCCAGCCCCCAACCGCACAACCCCTGGCTCCACCCGCCGCCGCCAAGGCACGCCGGGATGCCGAAGCCAGTGGCCTCCCATCGTCTCCCTCCTCTCGCAGCGCAACGGTGGCCACCAATGGATGCAGTACGGCTAGCACGCAGGCCCAACGGGAGCAGAGGGGCGAAGAGCGGGGAAGGGCAGGCGGACGAGGCGGCGCGTACCTGGAGGAGCTAGAGTCGTCGGAGGCCATCGTCGGTGACAACGTCGACGTCCTGCACCGGCGCGGTCGGCAGTCGCGTCGTAGTAGGGTTTGGATCCTTCCTCCCGGTCTTGTTTGCAGCCGCCGGATCTCGACGGGTGGCGGATTCGTCGGGGCCCCTCGCTCCTTAGCCCTCAACCAGCTTGAATCCGCCTCGAATCGAGGCAGCACTGATGAATTCGCCACAGACCTTCACCTCCACGTCGACGGGGGGCTGCACCGGCGTCGACGACGCTTCTGCCTCCATGTCGACGGGGGAGGTCAGCGGGTGCCACCCCAAATCGAGGCCGGGCCACGACGACGGAGCTTCCACCTTCGCCTCGAAGAAGATGAATCGAATGCGTCGAGCAGGGAGAAGGGGGGAAAAGGAACGGCTCACTGTTTTGATTTTTTTTTTAAATGGCCCATCGTGGCCCAATGTTACCGAGTTAGGACAGAGCGCGACAAAAATGACAGGAATGGAAGAACACCGGACAGAAAAGGGAACCGTGCGTCGTGAGCTCACGCGGCGCACGCGCGCTGAATAAGATTTGGGCAAAACCGCAGCCAGTTTCTCTGAAAATAGTATGCATAAAATATGTATATTTGCAATTTTTAAAGAATAGATCATTACTTGACATCTCTAAATTGCCCAGCATAATGCGGCTACCCCAACCATAATATATTTATTCTCTTTTAAATCAAAATTTGATAACCAACTCCCTAACATGTGGGATACAGTGCTGGGAGGGGTTAAACCCGTAGCTATATAGACAGTCTTCCAGATTGTCTTGCCATGATGACAACAAAAGAAAAGATATTTAATAGTTTTGTTACCATTACATAAACAACACTTTTGACTGCCTTTCCAATTCCTTAGTTAGGTTATCCTCTGTTAAAATTATCCCCTGCTTGATATGCTCAAGAAAAATCTTGATTTTTAGAGGAATTTTTAACTTCCAAATCAATTTATGAGAGAAAGACATATTCTGATTCACCATGTGAAGATACACACCGCGAACCGTAAAAATGGCCACTCTTTTGAAATATCCAAATAAATAGATCTCTTTCCTCAGTTAAATTGATATGAGTGATCTTAGCTACTAAGTCTTCCTATTCATCTAGTTTATTCCCCGCCAGATCTCTTTGGATTGAAATATTCAGGTTGTAGATCTCATAACATTGGCTACTGTATCATGTGGGCAATTTGCAATATTATAGTGTGGGATAAAGGTGTTTGAATGGGCGGTTGCCAACCCATATATCTTTCCAAAATCTCGTTTGTCGTTTATTATTAATTTTGAAGAAACCACAAGCCAACACATTATCTTTCCTTACGAGCTATCCACCTCCTGCCCCTGCGTTGCTCTCCGTACGAGCGACACGGGCAGCCACGAACGCCCAGCCAGCGCCGCCCCTCCCCACCTCCCCCTGCCCTCGCCGCCGCTGGAAGCCCGTGCGGCTCCCAAGGATGGCGGCGGCGGGGATCTCGTCCCTCGTCCCTCTCCTGAAGTCGTTCCTAGGGAGGAGACGTGAAGCTCGAAGGGCGGCAGCGGCTTTCTCCGGTGGACGGGCAGCGGATCCAGCGCCACAGGACCGGATCCAGCCATCCCGCGGCCAGATCCGGTCATGGTCGGCCAACCCACGGAGGTGGGGCATGGTAGGTGCTGCTCGCTGCATTGGGCATGGCGAGGGTCATAGGATGCCGATGGATGGCTGCTGGGCGCGATGAGGACGATGCGACGTGGGTGCGGCTGCACGATGAGGACGATGCGACGTGGGGCGGCGGTGGAGGGCAGGGGTGGCGTGACTTCAAGGCTCATGTGCTAGATGTGGGCAAGCACTGGCGAAAGCCATGTCAGAACTGCCGGCAAGACGACGACGACACCGTCGGGCGTCATCTTCCTCCTTGGAGGCGTTGTCATGTTGTTTTCCCACTCCGGCCATCTGCAGAGGTGCGTCGGCTGTGCCGTGGTGGCGTGGCGGACAGCGGCTTGCTTGGGTGAGTGCCAGTGACGTCGTGGTGGAGTGGCTGGCAGTAGCCAAGCAGGGGCGCTAGTGGCGCCAAGGTGGCATGGCTGGGGCACTTGCCTGCTTCTCGATTTGCAGGTGGTGGAGCTTGACGACGTAGCGCAGAGCTCCTCCCCGGGCGGCATCATAAAGAGGCCAAGAGGCTGTGCAACGCTGCGCGAGGGAGGCAGCGAGGGGGCCGTGGAGGTGGTCGTGCGGTGGCAGCGAGTGGGCAGCGCGGCGCGGTGATGGACGTGAAGTGGAGGCTCGTGTCGATGACCAAATCCGACTGGGTGAGGAGAAGGCCAAGGTGTGAAGCTATGTCTCAAGAAGCTTTGTGTCCGTGCACGTGGTGCAACTGAGATTCCAGTGGCGGCGAGACAAAGGTGAAGTTATTAGAGCGGCTTAGTGGTACCAAGTCACCCCCGACGGCGAAGCAATCCCGGATCCTCGGAGAGTCTAGTGGTGGGAGTGGTGAGGCCTGTAACACCCTGGTGTTAAGCATGCATTTGGCATTGGCATTGCATGAGCACAAAAATTATTGAGCATTCATGAGCATGAGCATGTCAAATTCTATCTTCAAAATCTTGCTTATATCACATGTGATGCCTTTTCACTTTATACCTAGGCTAGGGTTTACATATGATCAATGTGTGAAATGCTTGTGGGACCCTAGGAGTACCTTTAACATGTTTAGAATGTCATATGGAACAACTTTGGTATTCATGACTTGGACCCAATTGGCCTCTAAGTCATGGTTATAATGTAAGCTATCATTTTCAAGTTGCATGTCTGACCTAAGTTGAACTATAGCATAGATTGTTTGCATGGCAGTGCACCCTTAAGCAAAGTTGTAGTACTTGACTAGAGTAACAACTTTTATTTTTAGTTCAAAACCTAATTCGGTGCATAGCATGCTCTAAAATAGCTCACAAGTAGCAATAGAATTACTGCTTTTGACTTTGAAAATTTTCTAAGTCTGGAAGTGGTTTACAGTTTCAATGTACCTATGTTTGACGCGCTGTAGTTTGTAAACTAGGCCAATCTCAATTGAACTCATTTAAGCAAAATTGTAGATCGTATGTAGCTCTACGACTTTGATTATTACGGTTTTCGCTGAATTGCCACGGATTTGGAGTTAGATGATCGCAAAGTCGTGTTGTCAGGCGCAACCATCGACTCTGATGGCCGCGTCCACGCGCACGTCAGTGGCCGACCGACCACAGGGCGTGGACGCCGCATGGCGGCTGTACACCAGCGATGGCCTGGCCGATCTGGTCAAAGCGTGCATAAAGGCACCGCGCACCTACAGCTCACTCCACTCACCCGCTCGTACTTCCTCCCTTTCGCTCTGCCTTGCCAAAGCAGAACACCGAGCTCGCCATTGTCGCCGCCAGCTTTGCCACCGTGTAGTGCCACCGTTGCCACACCATTTTCCAATCGATCGTGCCTACAACTCTGCCTTGTTCTGCGCTTCAATCTCCACCCTTTGCCAAGCATTTCGAGGGCGCATTTTGCTGTTTCCGCCACCAGTGATCTTACCGGAGCGCCGTCGAGCTCCATGCTCATCGTTGCCAACGCCAGCACGAGCCTTCTCATTCTTTCTCTCTCTCATCTTGTCACCTCTGTAGGTTGTAGGAACTCACGCCGGTGACCATTTAGACGCTACCGCCCTAACGGCGCTAGAACACGACCATGCACGTGAGCAGAGCTCACCGCTGCCTCACCGGAACCCTAACCACCTTAGATTGCTTCGTTAGGATTCCATGAAGCCGTAGCACACCTCACCAGAGCACGTGATGGCCAGAGAACGCATGTGTACCACGGCGCTACCTCTGTCGTCCGCCATTGCCGCCGACGAACTGTCTTTGGTGAACCCTATGTCGCATATTCGCCATCAACCGACGCAGCTTGTTGTGGGGAACACGTTGGTGTCACCGTTGTAGCCGATGATCTCGCCGCCGACGAGATAAGGCTGGCCGAAGCACCTCCCCTGCTCTGGTATCGCTGACGCGTGGGTCCTACTGACTAGCGGGCCCATCTGTCAGTCTGTGTATTCTTTGATTTCTTATTTGTTTTCACATATTTGAATACATGTTTCAAAAATTCATAAGTAGAGTTGTAGATGTCCATTTTGGGTGAATCAAATTTTGTTGGATTCATCATAGGGTGTAGTATTTGATAAAAATATGAAACCTATTATTTGGGATGTTTTTCTAGGATAATTAAATGGAGCTAGATAAGTGCTTTTAAATTGTTTTCAATCTTATAAAATGCATAACTTGAACTAAGAAAGTGATAAAATTGTGATTCTAATTTTGCTGATCTTGTGTTGACTTCCTCTAGTTATAAAAAATATTAAACTTATAGTAAACTTGATTGAAGTAGGATCTTTCTATTTATCTTTTAATAAATGGTGTTTTCTGAGGAAATTCATAAGGATAAAAATAAGTAACATATTGCCATGCCAATTTTTGTACAATGTTAATGGGTTTTGGAGAAGCTAAGAAAAATATGAGATCTATTGTTTGAAACTTTTCAATAGGGTTAACTATTTTTGCTAAAATAAGCCTATGCAACTTGTCATTTTTGTAGAGATGGCTATATTTATCCTAATGGCATGAAATTTGTACAGTAGACTTTTGGGGCCATATGTAGGCTACTGTAATTTTCTTTAAATTTATTATGCACTTTTGATATATTTCCCTTATTTCCCCTTAGTGTCGGTGAAAAAATATGTCGATACGCCTAACACACAGAAAGTCAGAAGGATCTGCTTGATGGAGCAAGGCTGGAGATCCGCTTGGCTTCAAAGCAGGGTTAGCCGATCCTACGAATTTCTGAAGGCGTGTCAGTCAATTTGACCTACAATTGATAAAGAGAAAAAATTTATCAGTAATTTAAGGTGAAACATGCCGGTCTTGCCCAGATAGTTCTAAGTGTGCCGCTTCGGGAGCGGCCAGACGGGAAAAATCGATTAAACAGCCGATATGCGAAGAAATTAGCTATTAAGGACTGTAAAGCTCGTGGTTTGCGATTCATTTTATGATGACAAGTACAATGCACACAGATGTAAGTGACATCATTAGCTAGGTGGATATTATCAGTATAAAGCATTGAGCCGATGAATCTAACGAGAAAGAATATAACTTGTGAATAAATCGACTGTCCAGTACAAATAGATCTACAAACGCTATGAATTTAATCTGTTACTATCAACAGTGAGGTTCGACCGGATCGATGATAGTTATGATAATA